GTAGCACGGAGAGCCGCAAAACTCTTGACAAAACATCTTTCAAACCGGCAGTCTAAATCCCACAGGTATCAACGAACGCTTTTCATTCCACTAATTTATTCGTGTTTTTCTCGTTGCGATGTTCCCACCAATCACGTAACTCCATTTTCTGCCTTTAAAACCACTCACAACCCATAATTCCTCTATTCGCTCTGACGAAGGGTTAACGCTCGAAATGTCAGCTTTTATAACCGTAACGGTGGCCAATTTACCATTTCAACTTTGTTGATATATTCAAGTTATTTCGTTACCCCCACCGACGCAGCGCCAAACAGTTTCTCTAGAAACTATCAGCCTTTTAACAATATCAAAATCTGCTAAGAATATATGAAAGTCATATATTGTTGTCATACGTGAATAGTAAAATCTAATTGAAGTTCAAATCGAAGTCCGACTCGAAGTCTAATCCAAAGTCGATTATACGCCTAGTTTCTGCAGTTTTCTTTAGTGAGGTTGTGATTAATCGCCAAAAGTAATCATTAAAGAAATCTTTTAATAACCAATGTTCATGTCAGAAAAAAATTCGACACATTTAGACGAGAAAAATATAGTCGATCCTGATCGTTCAAAACATATGGTTGCTGCTCCTACCAAGAAATTGGTTCATCTTCTGTGAAGTTGCACTTCTTCCCACTTTCCCTTCTTTGCCCGCACTTTAGTCATACCCTACAACGTCCTCTTCGAATCGCTCCCGATTACTAGCTCTGTCAACAACCTCTTTATTCTCTCTTGTTTCACCTTCAGAAGAAACTCTCACTCTGTTAAATCAATTCTGGCGATGTTCCATGTGAGGCAATGGTTTTTTCTGGGTGGATTTTCTCTGTCTACTGGCATATCCATATGTTGATGCGTAATTGTACATTTCTGCCACAGGTTTGTTTTAGAGTGGTGTACTTGGCCGATCAAAATTTCTATAGTAACAAAGCGGAACTATGACTTCTTTTCAACGGCCATTCAGTGTAATCTACACGAGCACATATTTCTAACACTGTTTTTCATCTCTTTTAATTCGCACAGTTACCGTTTCAAAGAAACCTTATTGACGTGTCGTTGTTGAGCAAGTCGCAGGTAACTGTCAAAGATAGGAATTTTCCGGACTAAATTGATGACCATTGTCTTGTTCCAGTAAACCAGTTGGGCCCCTTTTAAGTTGTTTTTGACGAGGTTTATTAGTGGGATTTTTTGTTCTGTTACAGGTCGACTGGTTGAATGAGTATCATGAAAGGACAAGAGAGGTTATAGGAGGGGAGCTCCGAAGACGGAAAAGGGAAATGGCTTTGAAGTGGCTCATGAAGGAAACGGAGCCTTTGAAGTATTTCTCATAGTGTTACTTAGAACCGGTGTATATGTGGTTTCTACAATATAACGATACACCCAAACATCACTTTTGTTTTTAATTTTGTTTGTTTGCTTATTTTTGATGCGAATGATCAAAGATGAAAATGGGTAGACAACGTAATTCTCAGTCACTACAAGTTTTCAGGTGATTGACGCAGAAAAAGAAAAATCTTACTTACTACAACAAAGCTTTACGGGAATTTTTATCTGTTTTTATCAAAAAGACCTCTAAACTTGTACTTGTGCGTTTGCACCAAGGTACGGGCTCTTCATTTAAGTAAACGTAAACTTGACATAGGGGACAAGGTTGATGGCTCTGTCTTGGACAATCCGGAATCAACAGGCGATGTCATCTTCAATTGCAAATGATAATTATCATTGAAAACAAAGAGCGTAAGAAAAGAAGAGAAAAGAAAAGAAGAGAAAAGAAAAATCGTTCTGAAGCAGTCACTGGACTTTTTTTTTTATCACGAGTCCAGCCGCTTATTTGCTTGTGGCACTATTTATGAAACTGTTAGTGTTTACATAAAGATTTGCATGTGAGAACACAACATCCCGAGCATGTTTTTAAAGACACCTGGTGAATCTCTTCCAACGGCTCAACAAGTCAACCACGGTAGCCGAGTTAATTTTGTGTTCACCAAAATTTGTCATCTACACTTCTACGTTCAATCAATAAAGTTGCAGTGTAAAGTTATTTTCCCTTCCTCAATTGACTCGACTCCGGTGAAGATTCAAATGAAAGTTTGTTCGACATCTACGCATGCTTTGCAAGTATTTAGTAGAAATAACAACACCAGGAGTTACTTTTTATCACCATTAGAAAGCAGGGAAGCTCCCTAAATGTATTACTCGTGCACTGATTAGCAAATAGGGCACCAAATATAAAATAAAATAAAATAAAATAAAAAGCAAATCCGCCAATGGTATTTCTGCAAAGAAGTTGGACATGGCAAGCTTATCTATAATGTATGCGCCATGATGGCTGCACGACTGTTAAACTCGCTATTCTTTTTTGTTTTATTTATCAATATTTGCTGCCTTCTTTTACTAAATGGATTAGAATTCAAAGGACCTAACGGTGTTTGCCAAAGGAAGGTATGGTCTTGGAGTGATTTATATTATTTCGAGCGGAATTCTAGCTGTTTTTGCTGCACTATACTTCGACCAACTATCAAGCATGTGGAAATCCATTCAAACCATGGACGTAATTTAACCGTTTGAAAGACAACCAAACGTGGAGCCACCGTCCTTATTTTGCCTAACAAACTGGTTAAGACGGATCTCACTATACATATGGATGTAAAAGCTAATCCAGGACCAGAAATCCACAGAAATAGAGATTCTTCCGCTCAACCTACAGTATTGCATAATAGTCCACTTTACAGTTGTGTGCTTGGTTGCCAAGCCTTTGAACGGGAGTAAAATGGTCTATTCATCGCACACTCACTCAAGGAAACAGCTATTGAATATTAAAGCCAAATACTCCATCTCCAACGATTTATACCTGATTTTGAAGGATAATGGAATATTAAAGACAAGAGGAATACATGCAGGAATATCTAAACGGCATGTTCATTAAATCTCATAGGCTTCTCGACCTTTTCCCCAGTGTCGATAAAGAGATTTAAGTTTTTATACTTAGAAGATGCAGAAGTAAAGTCAATGTCACAAACAGGGGCGTAGCTGATTTCTCTAGTGGGTGGCACAATCCAGTGGGCTTTTTCTTGTGTTACTGTCCTTGTCTCTCTGTGGCGAACGTAGCATTCAATGGCGAACAGCGATGCTCCAACATGACTGCATGTTTCACCAATGCCAGACATGCAATTACAGTGTGCTGATTCAATAGTACCAGAATCAAGTGCAATGATCCAGGACGTGAGAGAGGTATCTCTTACACGCTGTAAATGCATAACCTACAACAAACAATAAATAAATATCAGAAGAAAAAAAAGGAAAAAGAAAGCTTAAACAGCCAAAACTAACGTTTAAGGTGTTTGTTAAAGTTTTAGCAACTTAAACTGTGAAAAGAAAACATGAAATTAGTACTACATGGTCAATGCAGTACATGAGAGATAGTCGAATAGTCCATTTTCCAGTTGTGTGCTTGGTTGCCAAGCCTTTGAATGGGAGTGATGCTAGAGATGACCTCGTTATGATACAAACCTTGCTGCCTTTCAAATGTAAATCACTTTGTTATCATGCTAACTAGATACAGGTCTCTATCAAAACAAGGTCATCTTTAGCCTCACTCTGAATCAAAGGCTTGGCAACTAAGTACACAACTGTAAAATGGCCTATTAACATTGAAAAATTACTAAACTTACCCTTCCAGATATAACTGTCAGCTTCTTATCTTTAAATTTTTTCACTTTTATCTCCTTTATCCATCCGGAGACGAACTGGTTGTAGGCTTCAAGGCTTTTATACGCCTTGAATTGCTCCAAAGTATACCTGCTTACGTTTAGAACTAGATAGTTCACGAGGTCCACGGAAGCTATCGGTGGAAAATCGCTAACATTTGACGACCATTCCTTATTTGCGATCTCAAACGGATCAATGTTGTCTATACAAGCTATTGTTGAAAATATTTCTCTTTATCGAGCGGATCGAGCGTTGAAAAGTAAGTTTTTTTCGCAGACATGGTCAGAATCGCTTGTCAACGTTGGAAGACCTGACCTTACTTCAGTCAGCGCCATGTCACGGAGCAAAACTGTTTGCTCCGCTATCCTCCTGTTATCTCTGTACTTTATAACCTCCTCGGGCTCTGAAAGAACTAATCTACTCGCCTATGGGCCTGACTTAGAGGTAACTTGGTCTGCTTTTCGTCATGCACTCCTTACAGCCTGTGCCGATGGAAAGACACCAAGGACGGAATTGACCAGGACAGGATTCTTTCAGCGACGGTTATCGTACAATTCGAGCAGCTTGGCTTCCTTTAATCCCGAAATTCTTCGGATAGTCCGTAGTGGGGATGTCCATCCGCACCCTGGCCCTGCTACGAGAGTTAAGTGCCCAACATGTACAAGAATGTTCTGCATGCAACTCCAGCTTTCATATAGAATGTAGCGGCCTGTCCGTCCCGATCTAAAGACAGATCTTAGCGGGGTTAATCAGTGATTGGAAATGTTCAAACTGTAGTAACTCAATTCAAGCGGTTTTCGACTTCTCTGATTCCTAATTTGAAGAAAATATATCCTTCCAAGATGGCGAATATGCAAATCAGTGTTACGTACCACAAAATCTGCAAACTACATGTGTCTCAACTGATACGGAAATTCAACGAAGCGAAACGGCTAGCGTGACTCATAACCTACAACGGGAACTTGGGGATATTAATCTGAAAATTGGTCACCTAAATGTTAATGGCCTGACGAGCAAATTTCGTGAAATTCAACTAATTCTAAGTGATATTAACTTCGACATCCTTGGCATTACTGAAACTCACTTGAGTGAGGACGTCTCAAATGAGTGGATATCAATTAACAACTACAACCTGGCAAGGAAGGATCGTGACAGGCATGGTGGTGGTGTGCTTATCTACTACAAAGAATGCCTTACAATTAACCCTGTGCACAAATGGGATGCTCATAACATTGAGGCTATATGGTTAAATGTCACAATGCGATCGCAATCCTTTCTCATTGGCTGTTTATACAAACCACCTCACGATACTGTGTTCTTAGATACATTTAGGGAATTGCTCACTGGCATCTGGCTGAAGAGAAAAAATATTGTTCTTATTGGTGATTTTAATTGTGACTTGATGCCTAATTCAAGTAACATTAATGGTAGACGACTAAAAAATATCATGCAAAGTTTTGATCTTAAAAATGTCATTAGTGGTCCAACCCGAGTTACAGACCACTCTGAGTCGCTACTGGACCTTATCATCACCAGCCAGCCATCTAAAGTGGACAA